CACTGCCGGGTCCGGCCAGCACCAGTGGACGACATCACAGTGCAGTGATGACCGCGTGACACCAGGGCACGGTCACCCGCCCTCAGCTGACAGACAGATGGGTGGCACGGCACCAGGCAGCGACACGGTACTGATCGGCCACGTGACGCCGCCGGGACCGACCCAGACCGGCGCCACGGACCCGGAAACCGGGACAAGGCTGTCGTGTGTGGATGAGAACCGAATGAGCCGTGAGAGGCGCAGATCCTGTCAGCGGCGATGGAGCGTGTCAGACATGATTTGGATATTGGGTGCTGGCTCCCATAATGATCATATCGAACTGTGAAGAACATCAGGAAATGCATATGTAAATTGTATGATAAGTTTTTTTTTATTTCATGGTCTGATTCTTTGGGAGTGCCTATTCATGCATGACTCACAAATGACTCAACCCAAACACCTGGAGCGTTTCAAATTAGAGCCAAAGCTCTGAGGTCATAATTATGGTCGACTCGGATTCCGTACCCATTACCTGCTAATCGGCTGTTTGCAAGGTGACACCTCAGCCATGATTAGTAGGTATCGTATCACGAAAGTGATCCCCAATCACAATTCTGTGCGACGATAGACGCAATACGATAGTTATGAAGGCCAAAGATCGGTCACAGCGTACCAATCGTCTCCACAAATCCGGGAGCAGCCGTGTGGCACGGCGGATGAATCAACCGCGCTTCAAATAACCACGTCGCAGCAAGCCTGCCATCCGGAACTTCGGCCTCACAACTCACCCAGATGAAGAAATATCCTAGTCTGGAAAACATCCCACATCACCTCGGATTGCGAGCGTCTCCGATCAGTGTTTGCTGATGTGAAAAGCCGGGCATTCCGTGTGGCCGCGTGTGTGGTTTGTGTCAGTGGTCGGAGGCGCTCTGGGAGCGCTGTGAACGGGCCTCCATTTCACCGGGACTCGACTCCCGACTCCCATGTGTAACGCCACCGACGGCAGGAGCGCGTGTTACCCAATCTGAGCCCGAGCGGCCGCAGCCGGTGACCAAACCGTGTCGTCCCCGCAGACTGATGTGAAATGCTCTCAGCCGGCCCGGGTCGAGCTGACTCGAACATCTGAGGATCCGGAGCGACCCAGGTAGACTCGAGACGACTCGGGGTGATTTCAACTCCAGTGGGTGACTCAGGTGTACCGACGGAGGGAGGACGCGCTGTCATCGTTGACATTTAGCGGTCGGCACTCCCGCTGCAGGCGCGATTCGCCGGCCGGTTCCACCACTGGTCCAGGCTGCTGCGGAGGCGGCCAGTCGGAGACCCGTTAGTTGGCGGAGTGGCCCTACAGGTTCGGACGGCCGGACGTCAGCCAAACGAGCGTCGGTCGTGGGCTACTAGAGCCACGGCACCGCGCCGAGTCGCTGGAGAGATGAAAGCTCACCATCTGCTGACAACAACCGAGGCCTGCCGTGGAGAAATGGAACAGCCAATACAAATGCAAACTATCGCCTGGACAGGGAATAGCTTCTCCCATTGTTCTATGAAGAAACTATTTGCTTTTTAAGCGCATAATTGCATTTTTCTCCTTTGTTCTCTTTTTCCAACTCTCTCTCTCTCTCTCTCTCTCTCTCTCTCTCTCTCTCTCTCTCTCTCTCTCTCTCTCTCTCTCCTCTCTCTCTCCTATCCACAGCGGTGCTGACTGGTTCTTCTCACGCCCACACGTGTGTGCCCACTGCCCTTGATTCGGCGCCGGCCGTCCACCTTTCTACCGTCATCTCTTCTCTCCAGCCTGCTCACCTTTGTTGGTAGCTCTCGGGTCTCTGGTGGGTCGGTCGCCTTTGTGCTGCGGACCAGGCTGACCCATTTAATACAGCCGGTCTATCCGAGGCAGGCGGGTAGGCGGCTGTTGACGTCACTGACAGAGGCTGTTACAGCCGCGGCTGCACCGAGCTGGGTCAGTTACAGCCGAGGAGGGGTGCCTGTGACCGTACAGAGGTCAGAGGTGGGCCGTGACGTGACAATGAAATTGTGGGACGACACGAATGTCGTCCGAGATGCCGAGATGTCGAGGTAATGGCCCAGTGATGAGCGGGACAGGAGGTAGAATATCGCTGCCCACTGCCCACATTTAGCATCAGCCGTTTATATCAAAATGCCTCATTTATTAGTTTGGCTATTTTCGGCCGTTTCATTCAAGTGATTCGTAACTGCAATAGGTCGCTAGTGTCAGTGACTTTATCATTTGCAAACAATGGAATGGAACTTCAATGAAAATAGGACATGGAATGATACCGAGTCACCGACTGTTGTAATAACAACAAAATATAAAAGCATTGCATAATATTCGAAGGACGACAATGAAAACGAGACTCATCCCTGCTAACATTTCCACAAGAAGGAACTTCAATGACAGTTATGTAAAAACAGACATTCTATGTGCCAACAAATCCCAAAGGATTAAAGGCTTGTCTTTGGTGATGTGCGTTTGCGACTTTATCCACGCTATATTGTGACTAAACATATGTGTAATCACTGTAATACCATTTTTACGAAACACAGCATATGTTGGCAGTTGTTTCGTGCCTCTCACTGGATACTATTTCTGACTACGGACGATGTCTCCCGTCTTTGTACCACTAATCCTCAGCGTCTCTAATCCCACGTGCTGGTCGCACTAATCCATCTCCAAGGCTGGTCTCGTCGGGATGGCAGAATAACGACAGCAATCCGCTGATGACGAGGGGGCGCTAGGGGGGGGGGGGGGGTGACAGTCTCCGGTGTCCAACTTAAGGGCGCCACAGAACAGCAACACGCCTTCATCGGCGACAGAGGAAGATCTGTTGCTGATGGGGATCAGCAACTATTGTAACGGATCTTCAGATCAGCCTATCACCACCGTGTGGAAATGTCGTCTGCCTGTCTCCCCACAGCCTGCTGGTACGACAGGGTACGTCGTCACCAGTCACAGCTTGTGGTCGTCACTTGAAGTGACTTTACGCTGCACAGTGCACAGTGCACACTGTCTGTGTGCAGATGTGAAGAGCGGCGACTATGATCGAGCACGTTGTACTGCACACTGCTGGCCTGGTATAAACATATGTACTGCTTACGTAACAGTCGTCTTCATTCGTTTCTCAACTTATACTTTTCAGCATTACAGCTTGCATCCCTGAGCTTTGTTTGTCAACCTGATTTGCCAACAACCGAGGCACTATATCTCCGAACCGGACGCTGCGCATTGCTGGATCATGGATCAACACACACATAGGGTAGACCGGGGCAAGTCGCCCCGCCGAGGTAAAACGCCTCACCGATGTTTCTCGGAACTGGCAAGGTTCTGGAGAAACATCATCTCTTCTATAAAACGTGCACTATATGATCATTATATGAGCAGACTGGAAAGAAATTGTGATGACTCTTTAGGGAGATATAGCCAAAAAAGTGTTTTTGGAGTGATTTTTATGTTTTGTTGTCAGCTTATGCATCATGGCGTTCTTTTATGGTCCACATCAGGTTAACGACTTTTATGTATTTTGAACAACTTTATCTAACGCTTATAATGCCGGCTTGGTTCGTGTTAAATTATGCCTTGCTGGAGTGCAAGGCGTTGTTCTCTGACCGAACTACGTGATGGGGTAAAACGCCCCAGTAGGTCGGGGGGCAAAACGCCCCATGGGGCGTTTTACCTCATGTGTTGTTCGGACTACCCACTTCCTAATGTTCGGTAGCTGGCTAACAGTAAGTTTCTATGCATTTATATGTACTTTTCTCAGCAACTGGATGGCAAAGGAAGCATTTTGTTAACATTTACATTGCAATAATTTATTATTTGGCCTTATGAGGCAGGTGAAAAACCTGCTCATACAATAGTGTCATAGCTGAACACCTGATACGGTGGAAGGAGCTAACTTCAGTGCCGTGCTTCCCAAGGTCTAACAGACCTCTCATATAAGATTTAAGTCAATTAGCATGTTAAATCTTTAATCTAGAGTATGGGGCTTCTTGCCCCAGGCCGTGGGGCGTTTTGCCCTGGGGTTGGGGCAAAATGCCCCATTTGCAGTTGCTTCACAAATCACTTCCTAGCTAGGAGTCCGATCATAAGTGAATGAATTTGAGGGGTGGAATTTAAAGTAAAATGTCCAAAGAGCGCATTGAGCACAAATTTGGCCTTCCAGGTGATGTGGGACAAAAGTTATGTAGCAAAATAAATTATCTGGGGCGTCTTGCCCCAGGCTACCCTACACACACCACCGAACCAGTGACCCAACCGCGTCCACCTTTCACAACCCATCCGGTGGGCCGTGTAACAGACCGGCGCGACAAACGATGATTGTCGTAATGGGCATCTAGAGCCGGTGTTTCGTGCTGGCAAGCCGATCGCTTCAGTGTGCGGTCCAATGCTCTCCACACAGCAGGTGCTTATAGCTGGAGGTCAGTGAAGGGTGCATGTTATGAAACCACGCGCCGCCGACCGGCGAACGGCGGCGGATTTGTGTGCGCGGGGAGGAGGGGGGGGGGGCGGCACGCGTGTGTATGTATGCAAATGCTTAACAGGGAGAGAGGGAGAGAGGGGAGGGGAATAAAGATAAAACCATAATAGAAAAGGAGAAGGGAGGCAGAGATTAAGTGGAAACTTACAATGGGAAAAGAGGTGTAAAATAACTTATCCAAATCAGCATACCGTCTTGCAACATAAGACGCTTAAGTATGATTAATCAGGGAAAACTAGAATTTACACCTATGCTCTCACATCGCTTGCTTTACGTTACGCCATGCTCTTCTTTTGCGCAAAGTGACTGTTTCACGTTAAAGTACTGCTGTCTCTACATAGCTTATTATCCCACAAACTACTCTTACAAAAATCTAGGCTGTTTTTTATGGCGCTAATGACATCCTCGTGACTCGTCGAGGGAAACGATTTTGTTACCTCATTTCACTAAAATGTCTTGCGTCTTAAGTTCCGTGCTGATGATGATCGTGTCAAAAGCAGAACACGGTTCTGTGTCGGGCAGCTGCCTCACCTGTTAGTTGTTACTGTTGTCTTTTGTCGGGGAGACACCGCGCGGGTTAGCGGCTGGTCGGACGCTGCAGTCTCCACCTCTACCGGTCGCTCCCTGCGTGTGCCGCGCTCCTTCTCACGACAGCCAGCAGGCGGCACTGCACAGCAGAACACACCTGGACGGGCACGGCCCAGAACAGCGTCTTCCCGTATCGGTAGAACGTCCTCTATGGCGCTGGTAGAGCGCTCTACGGGCCGGTGATTGGCGCAGTGCAGAGGGCCGATGGTGTCGGTGCGGGTCCAGTCGGCCCGCGGCTGCCGCTCGCTGGATAGTGTGTCCCACATTCGGCCACCGACCCGGACTTGTGTGAGAGCATGGCCTGTGTCCGCGCCGTGACCGGTGCCATGCACGCGACGATGGCAGGTCAGAACAGCGCTGACCGCGTGGCCAGCTCACGGATGATGGCGGAGATCACGAATGACCACCAACGACCAAGTCACGGAGCGATCCGCGAGAGCGTGAGACTGCAATAGCTTGCACGCTGAGGCATCCGAATATTTGGTGCTTATATTTACATATCAACCAAATTTTTGCTTGACAAGTTAGTGCGCTAGGTAATTGGCCCCAATGCTAGGGAACAACTTTGTAATTCAGCTTACAAGCAAAGAATATCTCGAAAGGTGGATTACTTTGTAAAAACGTCTACTTGCTGCAGCCTGCATACTTTGCATTTACTTGGCTAAGTTGTCGTTTCAGTACGGTAAGAGCTGTACCTAAATACCGATTCATTCGTTTCCTTCCGTGCCGCCCAAGTTCTGCATACATAACTATTACATATACACTCGTAAATCAACAGGTTCAGACTGGCGATTGTGCGTCCTAGCCCTCCTCAGAAAGCTCAAAGCCGGTGACTGACGTTGGATCACTATGGTTAACCTTCCAGGCGGTGGGGGGCATTTTTTGCCCCCCTTTAGTTTTTACGATATATCTCCAGAACCGCTGCGCCGATCGTCACCAAACTTTCAGTACCCTCCCGTGAATAGCTATCGCACATTGTGACCAAAAAAATTTCCAAAGGCTATGATAGGTTGGCCGCAAATGACGTCAGAGTGACGTCATTTCTGCCATTTTCGACCCAAAAAAAGGTTTCGCGGGAAGAGCTGTCACGCCTACAGCTTTAAGGCCTGGCTACACTATGCGTTTTCTGCGTGCGTTTTTTGCGTGTTTGTGGGTTTTGCGTAATATTGTTCTAGAAAAAAGGTTATTGTTAATTAAACTTCTTTAATATTTATATAAAAGTTATTAAAACGTTTATGTTAATTAAAAGTTTATATGAAAAACATATAACAAAAACGTAATGTCGTTTCTTTCTAGAACGATATTCCGCAAATCACGCAAACTCGCAAAAAACGCACGCAGAAAACGCATAGTGTAGCCACTGCATTATAGACACAGAAAAATGTTTCAAATAGGTACAAAAGGTGTAGAATCAAGAGCGCTACAAAACAGCTATCTTGGATTTTTGAAATTTTTTTTTTTGTATTTTGACCCCCGAAAATCAAAAAATAATTTTTTTGGAATACCTATAATAGCCAAAAAATCCAAAAAGTTTTTTGAATTTCGAAAAAAACGGAATATATGTGATAATCCCTACCGCCTTCTATCTACATACCAAATTTGAGATCGATACCTCTTTTTTGGCCAAGTTATAGCGAAAAAAACTGTTCAAAATTGATGACGTCAAATTTTCAAACTCAATTTTTAGCCATTCTAGACCTCGTAGCGCAAAACAAAGACCACCATTAGCCTCCCCGTGACGAGCTGCATCGAATCAATACCCATTTTATGCAAAACTAACAACTTTGAAATTTGACCTTTTTTGACCTGACCTTGACCTGACCTTGACCTGACCTCCACCAGAAAGTGACCTAAACCATACCTGATGGTCTTATAAACAACACCATTGAGTTGGAAATGAAAAATTGGCCATAAAACATGCATCGTACAACTTTAGTAAAGTTTGGTTCGTGTGGTGACCCTTGGTGACCTGACCTGTGACCTGACCTGGTATGACCAGTGACCTCTAATAGCAACATATGTACTAGACAACTGACGCCCTATCGCTGATTTTCGACAAAATGCGTTTTACTCGGTGTTATAGCGCTTTCCCTAGAAGACCCGTGAACGGTAAAACATTTTATCTGTAACTTGACCTGTGACGTCATCAGTGACCCCGAGGTCAATGAAATTTTGTTTCCTTAAACAAATTTGACAGGGCTATCGAACGCCGTTTGAATTTTCCTGATCTGTCCAGTAGGTTCGGAGATACGGGGGGGGCAAAAGAATGCCCCCCCCCCCACCGCGCGGAAGGTGGCCGGGAGGCCCACCGCCTGCCGGGTTAAGCCACCCATCCAATAGAGATAGGTAAAATAATAATACTTATTGCCTGTTCAGCAGTGGCGGATCCAGGGGGGCAAAATGGGCATTTGCCCCCCCCCCCCCCCCAACGGCATAATTTTAACATTACGCCTATGGACGATGCATGGAAAGAATCGATAAATTGTTATGGTTTCCCCCCCCCCCCAAAAAAAAAAAAACTCTGAGCTCGATCCGCCTCTGCTGTTCAGTGGTAATGAGACCGATCCAAATATACTAAATACGAATGATATGATACGATACTATCCTAAGCTGGAGTGTGCGAACGCCTCTTATAGGCCATAAAGCCAGGACCCCAGTAAAATTATCAAGCAGTTGACTGTGTATTACGTTCCATCATCACACATCATTTATTGCAGATAAAGAGTCGCTCGAGAGTATCGTTCACGTCAGTTTGATCTGACACAGGACGTTGATGACGACAGTGCACGAGTTGTCGTGCCACAGGTTGTTCGTGTAGCTCGGCCAGCCCAGGTGAATACAGCTGGGGTCGCCGCCGTCCGGCTGGTTCCGATCCCAGTGAGCGTAGTCGAACGGTGAGCCATCGCTCCACACCCAGTCTCCCGCAGCCTTCCCCGAGCCGAACAGGCCCACCCAGACGGCCTTCTCGGCCCCGCTGGAGGCCACCATACCCTCCAGGAACGGGCCCGAGTCCGGGTGGACTGAGGCCAGCTGCGCGCCCCTGTGCAGCACGGCGCACGCGTGATGCGCCCGGAACCAGTTGGTCTTCTGCGGCGGGATCAGGTAGCAGCTGTCTCCGTGGCGTGCCCAGCCGGAGGGACACTCCCGGGGCTGTGACTGTCCGCCGTGCAGAGCTCTCAGCAGCCCGGTCATCCCCTCCGGGAGGTCCACAGCACGTCCCTCTGAGTCGGTGTAGTTGGCCGCCGTCCAGAGCTCCTGCTGAACCGCCTGCCGTACTCCCTCCGAACACGCCGCGGCCAGGCCGGCGACCACAGCGGCCCCCGGAGACACCGGGTGGTCGCAGGAGCAGACAGCTGTCCTGGCTAGCAGTAGCAGCAGGGCGTGCAGTACCGTCCGCTCGGTGATAGCCATAGTGCAGCGAGTCTGTCCGTGAAGTCAGCTGCCTTCTGGCCGCTGGGGAAAGACCAATGTTCGGGACACCGCCAGAGGCAGACTGGTTTGTAGAGGCCCACTGGGGCGGCTAGATATAGTACGTTGGGATTTGTTTATAGTGAGACCATCCATTCCGGATGAAAAACCCAAACATCGAGACGCATTTGGGAAATAGCGGATACGTCACTAATGTCTGGCCTCCGTCTATGAATTGGTTTCTGCGTAAAGTGACTAACACTGTGTCAGAATTTTCCAGGCATGATATAAATGAAACGGTTGTGATGCATACCTAAGATGTGCAAAATTCATGCCTGCTATATGAATGCAAATTGCATAGGCATATATTGCACCGACCTAAGAAGTTGAAAGTGATTTCAACTCCTATGCATCCATCGTACATATATACCTCATTAATATCTTTATTGATAAGGATGGATAAGGTATTTATGAAAGAATTGAAAGACGCAACTACCAATTTATAATTGGCTGAATCAATATTAATGAAACAACTGCCGCTTGTAAGGGTGCTTATACATGTATTCAATTTACCTAAGCATGAAAGTTGGGTAATACCTAAAACGATACAGGCACAATTGAATGCATCAGTAGGATGTCAACTTTTAAAATAATTCTGAAATACGATAATGGATAGCGAGCTTTATTATTTGCAGGAACGTCACGGCGCGGCGCAGCGGTCAAAACACAAATACAGACATTTATCACTGAATTGCAGGGTAGGCTCGCCTGTTGCTAAGCTATTAACTAATACCATGTGTAGAATAGCCACAACAAACACTAGTAAATGACTAGAATTTAAAGTTGAAGCAGTTCCATGAAGTTATTGCACAAACGGTGGTACGACATTTCTAAGCATGAAACATAAACTTCGCTATTCTACACACTTATGGAACGTTAGCACAATCAAGGAAGGAACCACATACTCAGGATGACGTATTTCCATCGGCAATGTGCAAATCTAGGTAGAACTACACTCTGGGACATTCAGTACAAATAACCTATCAACAAGAATCGATGCTTGAAATATTCTAACAAATACTATCTGAGATCATTTTAAGGAGATCGGTATCATTGGCATCAACACCTGATTCGACTCAGAAGAAGGTGAGCTACCACAAAACAATTTAAGGATAACGTATGTACAGATGAGGCTCTCACACAAGTCATATGAACGGAATCATTCACACTCAGCTTCCAAAGCCGTCCATCCGTTCAGACTGAGTAACCCCTGGTTCAGCATGCTACGACTCTCGCTGCGTCTCGCTCGGTTCATTTACACACTGTCTTTCCTTGCAGCCTCACTGGGGTCTGTATTCAGTCCATCGTCCCCGCTATTTATACTTGATACGTGCTGCGGCGCACGTAGCCCGTTTTGATTTAGTTTTACTCCCATGCTCCAGTAGATGCGGCTCGGTGGGTCACACCTCGTCGCTAGAGGGCGTGCCGGCCGGCGGCTGTTCTGAGATAGGTGGCGCTCCGGTCGCATAGGGCAGCTCCCCGCCAGGCGGCGCCAGCGGCGGCGCAGAGCCCGGTGTCGGCACGCCCCAGGACCAGAAGCCCAGTTCGCTGCCGTCATTCACGTTTGGTACTGGAGCATAGGAGCAGACAAGTTTGGGTGATGGCTGGAGTTCATCCGAAGCGCGGAGAGCGATTTGTTGTACCACTCGTCCTCCATCGGCATACCTGCGAACGAACAGACAGACGGATGGCGGTCAGCGGACATAGAGGATAGACAGTGACAGAGGGTGGTCAGCGGACAGAGGGACAGTCGACAGACAGAGGGTGGGGTGGTCAGCGGACGAAGGGATAGAGGGAGAGCAGTCGGGGAGCGGAGGGAGAGCAGTCAGGGAGCGAAGGGACAGACGACGGACGGTCAGCGGACGAATTGACTTAACCCTCGCCAGGCGAGGGCCTTTTCCATAACACGGACGGCGAGGGGGGGGGGGTTGGTACGACCCCCCTCGCGATTGGCTCCTATGGCACTTAGAAACGCCAAATTTACAGGGTAGGTGGGTCCATAGGAGATCTCGCCCCTGTGAAAGGTTGGTGACTAAGTCAATATTTAGGGGGGTTTTGGGGGGTATGAGTGCAAAAAATTTGCTAAAACATGTCAAAAGTTTGTCACTTATAACTTTTTACCTAGTAGATAGAGCAAAAATGAAAGCACCAGTGAACTTAGGACGTCCGTGCGCATCGAATGATATACTTTGTTACCAATTTTAGTGAACTCTGGAATTCAGTGGCCGCTAAGCTAGTCCAATTTTACCCTGACCTTGTACCGGTTTTTGTGACCTGGTGACCTGACCTGAAAAGACTGGGACTTCAAATTTTCAGGAAAGGTGCGAAAATGTTGCCCCAGAGGGTATGCCAAATTTGGCGGCTCTACGCGCTTTTTACGTTATTTGCGAAAAACCTAAGGGGGGTTGCATCAACCCCCCCTCGCCGGGCGAGGGTTAACTTAGGACACACGAGGAGGGTAGTCACGGAATGACAAGCGCCGGCTGGATGCTCATTGAGAAACTAATGTGCAAACAGTCTACAGGCAAGACCACACTGCACAGGTCATCTCAGGTCACCTCTCATTCTCATCAAAAAGGTCACTGATCGTATGCCATGTATGCCACCTGGCGTGTGCACTGTCTGTACTTCATTACAGATGATTCAATGCATGCATGATTATGCAAGCTCCTCATTACAGACGATAATCTGAGCTCGTGAGTTGGCTAATTAGCAGTTCCTGACTTTTGAGCAAGTGCATCGTTCGAGTGTGCGGACCGAGCGCCGCTCGCCGAGGGCACCCACCATCTCTCACCCATATCGTTGCGCACGGCGGCCATGTTGTGTGAGGCGTGTCCCATTGCGAACGGCTGCGCCATGGCCGGGTAGGAGGCGGCGCCCATCTGCGGGTAGCGGTTCATCGTGTTGAAGCCCTGGTGCGCTGTGGGGTAGTGCTGGTAGCCGCGGCTCGACGGCGGGTAGATGTTCCGCATCAGTGCAGTGTTGCACGGTCCGAGCGCGGTAGGCGCCAGCGCCTTGTGCAGCTGCTTCTCCTGTTTTCGGTACTTGGCACGACGATTCTGGAACCACACCTGAGGACGCGACAATGAGAGTTTTATTACATGAAGTTAAAAAGGTTGGAGAACGGCTAGAACGATAAGAGAACAAGTGAACGGTTAAAACGATGAGGTGACAGCACGGTGCCAAAAAGCTAAAATTTTTCATTTGGGCCCTGACCCGGTATCCCCCATTAGGGGAAGCGGGGGGAGCACCGCCACCTTAAGCATTTCTGCTCACCGAGCTGATATGCGTAGTAAAAACGAAGCTCTTTTGCACTCATGTGAAAGTAGGGATGTTTTCCTACATGTTGGCAAAGTTTCCAGCACTCCATTATAAAATTTCACTACTTTACAGACGTCGAAAACAAGTCCTGCATTTTTCGTCCTCCAAAAATGTGCGGGTAGCACCGCCACCGATGGTGGTGTTATCCACAGATCGGCCTTACGGTGACAGACGCCCTTGGTAGCGTTACTGCTGTCTGAAATAGTAACTCATACTCATATAAGACACACAAGAGTTGGTTGTTAGTTTGTCACAGATCAGACTGTTTGGTGCGGACAATATGCATACACAGCCTGGCAAATTCACGTTTATTTCGAAACATCCAGTGAAGTCGAACGTGAGGTTAAAAAACAGACGACGTTTGCGGCCTAACTAAAGCTCTTCTCCGAGCTGAGTGAGTCATCATTGCGGCTTTATCCATTTTGCCACCCCTTGGGGTAGCACCGCCGAGCATGGCGGTGTTAGGTACCCCACACACAGTCATGGGCCGACAAAGCCCCGACGGGAAAACAAGCCGGGACGCGATTCTTCTGTAATTCCTTTCTCAACGAAGAGCACTTCATGCCCTCAAATTTAACGTAAAAATCGAGGTATTTTGACTTGAAATGACCACTTACTTGGTGCTACAACATGCCAAATGGTTACAACGATGGTTAGTAATTCACAAAATGGGCAATTGCGATCTTAAAATCAAATAAATCTTAGCGAGACCTACCTCACGTGGCGCCCCGCTTCCGTTTGGACACCGAAATGGCAAGTGTTTACATTTACAATTCAGAGTTTTGCCGATAGAGGGGATGGCGGTGCTGCCCACATGGCGGTGCTACCCCCGCTTCCCCTATTGCATTGGTGTCGTATCGGATTGTTCTGAAACCAGCTTGCGAAAACGGGTTTCTCTGCCTGCCCGCTTCAACTCTAACCTGTGATTATATGTGTATCACGACCATAACTCCTTCAAAAGATACACTTAGGTGCGATTCAATGCAACTTTCTAGCTGCACATCACATTTTCAATTACAAACTAATAAGGCTATGTGCCTACCCTACCCATATAAGTAAGGGATTATTTTTTGACCTCAGCAACTCATGCGACGTGTAGATGTCTCGTTTTCTTTTTGTTCTTGGAATGATGGAGCATTTCTTAAACGTTTTAAAGGTAGTGTGCCAGCTTTCCTGGACTGTCACTACCTATATGGAGTTAATGACCCGGATAAGGAGAACCGGATTTTTAGAACTTATCCATACCTTCAAAACTCATGGAAACGTCTTAAATTCTTCAAATTTTGAGTACCCCAGTGCGAAATTCGCCCCGACGGGTTGTCGGTCGTACCCCAACCACATTTCACACCACTATGAACAATAAATGCACACACTAAAATCGCTATTACCGATAGGCTCATCCAATCAAGTTTCGATAAACCCGTTCATCATCATCTCCTGCGGTTTCGAACACGCCTGTTAGGTGGCTTCTGCTCATACTTTGTGGTGCTGTGGTGGTGCGTCGGGCCGCGCGTTCTGACTTCGGCCAAGAAAAATGCGTCAGCTGATCATTGTCATTTCTGCCACTTTCGTGTGGTGAGATGGGGTCATAACTTAAGAGACGGCTGTTTCATATCAATTAT